CTGTGCCTTAAATAAGCAACAACAATACAAACCGTAAATGGTCTGTAATAAAAATTTCAAATTTTAGCGCACAATGAATAGCTTTTTGATTTTTTGGGGAAATTTTGGCAGTCTATTACTTCATACTGTTATTGGTCTTGATATAGCGAAAATTTTTAATTTCCCACATTTAAATTTTTGTGGAAAAAAGTGACAAACATTTTCGGACCAAAAACAGTCTGAATAATATATCCAAAAATTAACATTATGCCATTTCCTTAGTGAAACATGGGAAACAAAAGGCATCAATTTATTGGGACTGAAGACAGTCTGAAATACTTATTTAGATCGATTATGGTCTGAATAATAGGACTACAACACCTTATTAGGCCTGTGGAATAGACAGTGAACTTTAATTAATAAAATCATGTTATAGGAAATGAGTCATCTCCTTAAATGCAAAGCAGAAAAGTAAAAGAGAATGAGAAGGTTTTGGAAGTTTTGATCTATAAGGATTGATACCGGTCTGAAATAGTTATCCATACCATCTTCGGTCTAAATAAGAGTGCCAAAATCAACCCTTCTAACCTAACTAATCAAACTATGTCTCAATGCATTATTGTTGTGTCGAATCCCAACAGCTTAAACTTTTGAATGCAATACAACTTAAATGAAGAAAACAGAGGTATTAAAGAGGTGGAGTTCTAGATTTGATCACTATTTATCACTTAAATTTTTTATAGTCTTATTTTAGCCACCTTTCTTAAAACTTTACTTCGTCACTATGTGTAATGTACGTTTAATACAAGAAATTATGTTAATAATTTTCCTATTTGATTTTCAAGAAATTTCACAAAATCTTCTTTAAAATTTGAGCTACCAAAATATTAAAAACAAACATACAGTACACAACACTTTTTTTTATAAGACAGATATCTTAATTCAATTAAATTAAATTTGTCAATAACCAAATAAAACATTTGTATTTAATAAAATTTAAAACTTATATTAGTTTTGATTAATTCATAATAAAGTTTTAAAAATTATGTAGGGTCTCCCTTAAAAACTGGACTTCCTCTCTATTAACAATAAACACACAATATATGCAACCTGATCTCGATAATCACATATTATGTTATTTCAATCAAATGAAACCTATTACTAGCCAAGATCAAGAATTTATATTTAGTAATATTAAAATTCACATTAATTTCAATTAATTCATTGAGCATTCCTAAAAATTCAACAAAGTCTCCCACAAAAACTAAACTTCCTCTTGTTAACAACAAATTAACACATAATATAGACAACTTCATCTAGATAATCATAAATAACGTTATTTCAACTAAATTAAATATGTTACTAATCAAGCTCAATAATTTGTATATAATAAAATAAAAAAGTCACTTTAATTTTAATTAATTCATAAAGCATTCCTAAAAATTCGACAGTCTTCTTTAAAAACTAGACTACCTCTCTATCAGCAACAAACTTGCAATAGACACACCCTATTCTAAACAATCACAAGCTCTATTTCAACTAAATTAAACAGGTTATTAACCAAAATAAAAATTTATATTTTCAAAATTTCCCAGAATTTTGTACAGAATTTTCTAGACCCTAACTGGTTTGGAAGAAAACAAGGAAATCGACAAGAAACTTGAAAGGCAAAACCCTTTCTTAAGCCCCTCAACTTTTTCAATAGCAAATGACAAGCCCCTGAATTAAAAAGGTGGCAAATAAGCCCACCAATCCCATGTTTGCTTCTTTTTTTCTTCCTTTACCTAGTTTTGTTTTTAGTAATAATATATTTTTAATGAACTAATTAATAGTATATTATATACTTATCCTCAAGTAATATTTTTTAATAAAATAATGATATATTTTTTATTTTAATTAATAATACATTTTATTTCAATAATCTTTATAAATTATTTTTTAAATTTAATTAAATCACTTAATTAATAAAAATTCTTTTAATATGTT